TTCTGTACCTGTTCATTTCTTTTTTCTTGCCTAAATGTAGAAGCTTACTCTTTTCACCACTGAATTTCATTTTATTAGATAGTGACCAATGTTCAAGTTTGTCAAGATCCTTCTGTATCTTAAGCCTATCTTCTGGAGTGTTGGCTATTCCTGTCAGCTTGGTGTCATCTGCAAATTTGATGAGTTCCCCATTTATTCCCTCATCCAAATCATTGATGAAGATGTTGAAGAGTACTGGGCCTAAAACAGAGCCTTGGAGTACTCCACTGCATACTTCCCTCCATGTAGATGCAGTTCAATTGAGGACCACATGTTGAGTGCAGTTGGTCACCAGTTACGAATTCATCTGGTGGTGATGCTGTCTAACCCACATTCTTCTACTTTATCTAGTAGTAGGTTATGATCTACCTTATCAAATGCCTTACTAAAGTCCAAGTAAACTATATCGACGGCATTCCTCTGGTCCACTAATTTTGTCACTTTGTCAAAGAATGCAATAAGATTAGTCTGGCATGACCTGTTTTTGACAAATCCATGTTGGCTTTTGGCTATTACTTTGTTTACTTCTAGGTGTTTGCTAATTCGTTGCTTGATTATCTTTTCCAGAATCTTTCCTGGTATTGAGGTCAGGCTGATTGGTCTGTAGTTTCCTGGATCTTTTCTTTTTTCTTTTTTGAAGATGGGAACCACATCAGCTCTTTTCCAGTCCTCTGGCAGTTCCCCGGTGCTCCAAGATCTCTGAAAGATATAGTTCAGTGGTTCTGAGATCTCGTCTGCCAGTTCCTTCAGAAACCTGGGGTATAATCCATCCTGGTTATTTGGATTCGTCTAGGGTAGACAGGTGCTCACTTACCATTTTCTTCCCTATTTCAACTTGTGTTCCTAATCTGATTTTTGTGGTGCTGTTTTTGATAGGTTAGACTGTTTTAGCCCTGTGTGTAAAGACAGGTGCAAAAAATGAGTTAAATAGTTCTGCTTTCTCCCTGTTGCTTGTCACTTTCTTGCCACTTTCTCTCAGCAATGGACCAATTGTTTCCTTAATTAAAAATAATCATTTTAACAACCAATTTTTAAATATATGCGTAAACTAGTATAAAACTCAGCAATACCAGACCAAGCCTCCTAAACACCGACAGAATAAGATTGCTTTAAATGACTTTTTGAAATTCAAGAGAGAAAGCTGAACTATAGAGGCAGCTGAAAGAAAAGGTCTGTCTTCTCCAGCCTCCTTAGCTGCATAGGATAAGTAAATTTTACTTAGGAAGATATGATTCCAAAGGTAATTGAGAACCAAGCCAAGGCTTTATACATAAGCATCAGCAGTTTGAATGCTATTGATAACCAGTGTGCATCACAAAATAGGTGTCATTTCCAAAGCAACCAGGAAGAAGACAAGTGCTTTACAAACCAATTTTAGTTTCCTAGTGGTCTTCAAAGAAAGTCCCCAATAGAATGTCTTGCAGCACTTAAACCTAAATATAAGGATATTTAGGACATAAGCTACTGTTGGAAAAGATTCCTGATCCATAAAGGGCAGTAGTTGGCATATCAACCAACACAGAGCAAAGGAGACTTTGGCTATGTCTTTTACCTGGAGTTTCAGCAGGAGCTGTGAGTCTAGGAACCCCCAACTGCAGGCATGCTCCTTTAGAGCAGGGCTGTCAAACTCTTGGGCCACAGGCCAGATGCCTCACACACTGGCAAAAACACTTCCTTGTTTAGCAACGGGGGGGGGGAGTCGCGATACATCACATGACGCTGCCATGATAACATGAGTTTGACACTCCTGCTTTAGAGGGAGTATGATCTTATCAAGAGCTAAAGCCTATCCAGCTGGGGTAGAAACAAATGTAGTAGTGCAGTAATGCAAGAATCTACTCTGATCCTGACCCATCCAAATCTTCAATTATTACCTTCAGACTTTACGGATTACTGTGGCATACCTAGCTCAGTTAGGGATGGCAATGTATATTTATCAGCATATTGATACACAATATCTCCCAGCAGGTTCATGTAACAGTTTTCCACAGGGAGTGTAATCCTATCCTGGGCTTTGTAGGAGCCAGCATCTCAGATTATTTTTGATCACCTATTCCTTCATAACCCCTAGGTATCAGATAATAACCCCCACTGCATCTCTGGCTTGGTTTTAGGTGGCAGTGTATAAATCTTCAATAGATTGATGATCACTTATTCCAAACTAAAACATGGTTTCTTTTAGTTAGTTTTAGTTAGATGTTAAACAGCAAAGGAGAAAAAACTGAATCTTGTATGATCCCAAAATAGAGAAGGGCTCAATTGCTTATATCACATAACTACTGTCGAGAAACTGATTAGAATCACATACTCAATAAAGAGTAGAACCTTCACAAAACAATGCCCCTTTCTCCTATTCTTTGCATGTGATCCAAAATGCTGCCTGACTCCAAAAAGTTTAATAGGGCTGCACTTGCTCCATTTTAAAATATTGAATATTAATGTTTCATAACGTAGGTAAATGCAGTTATATTCCTAAGTAACAGGTTTTATTGCAAACATCAAATAACCTGAAAAAGGCATTTAAACATATTTTTCATGTATTATAGAATTGTGAAATCTACACTTAATTAAATGCAAACAACTTGCTTGTTTAGCAATAAAAATGTAAAGGCCTCAAAAATATGAGATATTTTTCTGGAGATTGTGGAAGTGTAAAGTTAGAATAACCATTAGGACTGCTTTATAAATACTTAGCAACATAAAATATTAAGCATTTAGTTTTTAAATGAGTGAGTGAAAACCTCTTAAATGTAAAATATGTTTCCATTATTGATTGCCTTTAAAAGAAACAAAATGAACATTTTGTTTTCATGCCTGTTTTGAAAAACTTGCTAAAAGTCCACATTTTAACAAGAATCTGTTGGCTCTAAGTCAGGGGTGTCAAACTCACGTCATCATGGTGGTGTCACTTAAATGAAGGCTGATATATTTCACTTTAATATATGCTATTAAATAATGAATATATAGTACAATTCTATTCTACCTCACTAAGGAATTTTGAGGTGGATCCCAACTACAGTATAAATAGAGAAGATTTAAATATTTCCTATGATAGAAAGGAAGACACAATGGAAAATAAATTTACAATAAAGTAGTGTTGGTAATTCTTTTCATGCACTATCCTGGTGGTAAGAATTAAATTGGAAATGCTATGATTCCTGTCTGTATGGAATGCATGTTAATTGACATACCTTTTCATGTTGAACATTTATATTTAGTATTTGTATAGATTCATCCAAAGCAACTGTAATGACTCAGAGAAAGAACAAAAAAAAAATAAGTTATTCGAGTATTAAACATACTGCTGAAAGTTCTTAATGATGCTTTAATCATATCAGTCTTACATCATTTATCTTTATGTGCTCTTATGTTTCTTATGGACCTGAGAAATTTGGAAATGATTACACAAATTTTCAGCAAGTGTAAATACAAACTATAATTTCATATTTCTGCTTTAGATATGTTGTTTGGCAATCAGATGTTTCTTAATATTCCTTAAACTTTTTTTTAAAAATGGAATTAATTTTCGTAAGTGCCAGCTCATAACTGACCAGTATCTCCCAGATTAATCACAACTTGCTCTTACTATTACAATGAGGAAAGTCAGGGAAAAAGTCAAATCCGTTGAAAATAATTTCATTTATTTATGGAGTGTTTTAATTATTACAGCGGTTATTGTTCTTGTTTAATAATGTCAATACTTTGCCATAAAAGACATTGTAGTATACATACATATATAAAAGAATGAAATATTAATAATTGAAGTTATATATTAATGCAGATTATTTTTGTGATTAAACTAAACAATGGAGATCCTAAAATTTTGATAGATTTTGCGCTATATAATTATTTAAAATAAAATCAGTATGGAAGGAATTTTTTTTATCCAGTTAAAAGCACTGAATTTGCCTTATTTTTATGCTAGATTATAAAAACATGAATAATGACATAGTATGATAATGACTTAAGTTCCCTGGCCAATAATAGATAAAGAAATGAAAAATAGATGTAACTGTCTAGTAGTGAATGCCGAATATTTTGCTAAAAAATATGCCATGTAGTGGGTTTTTTTCTATAGTAAATTTATTAAATGTACTAAAAATCTAAACCATATGGAGATGACATTTTGATCAGCATGGCACAGGATGATGTAAACATAATTAGTGCTGGCTAGAATTCAAACCAGGTTCTGTATACTGTAAAATGTCTGGTGGAAATGATGTGGAAGTACCTCCAAAAGTACATTTTGAACTGAATGCTAAAGTGTTGGACCATGGTAATCAAGCCAACTATCTTTTGTGGGTATTCTACAATGAAGTGGAACTCTCCCAACAATCAGTATTGTGTCATTTTATTGTAAAAGAATTGGCTTATTTTGTGCCAGTAAGGTGCTTTTACATATTTCCATACTGATCTAGCAGACTTGTATCAAAATGTCACTTTCAAACACATAGTGGTTGACTTGGTTATGATTATGAACTATTTGAGTTGCATATTAATGTGCTCAAATATGGGAGCTCATAACAGCCAATAGGATGTGGGCAATATTTCTTTTCTTATACTCTCAGGAGGTCTGTGCTCAGTTTCAACAAGGGCCAGAAACTGGCATAAATATCTTGGGCCCAAACCAGCATGAACTAATTATGTCTAAGTTCTATTGAAAACATTAATATTCTCAGTTCCCATTGATTTTGATGAGATTTAAATATGTCTCACTTTCTCTGGGATACAATGCCTATGATTTGAAGATACCACACTTCCTTGTTCCTGAGCATATGGAATTAACAGTAGCCAATCTTGGAGGTTTGTAATGATCACTAAAATGTAGAAGAACATTGACTGCTAAATGCTGACTTGTGAAACTATAATGGAAGACTTTGCTTTTCCATCACTTTTGCTGAACAACGTTTCAGTGAACTCAAAGCTCCTATGTGACTTTTCTTTGCTTTTCTTTTAAACAGTGCATCTGGTGGGAGTGTTGTAGCCATTGATAACAAAATAGAACAGGCAATGGTAAGTAAGGAACTTATTTATTTATTTATTTATTAAACTTATCTGACAGTCATCGCACTCTAAACAGCAACTTTATTTTGCCTACAGTGTTGATCATGTACTGTGATTGTGAGAGTATTATTTGGAGATTTTAATATAAATAGCTATATGTTTTAGAATTCTCTATCTGTCCTAAATTCTTTATATCACAAAACAATAGCATAGTACAGCACAGATTATGGTTTGCTTTAGTTTTTTGGCTATCTGCACTTTAGCAATTTTGTGATGAGCAAAGTAGCACCAATGCTGAAATAATTGGGAGCTTTTGTAGAATTTTTAGCAATAAAACTGTCCATTCTAATACTTGCTGTGTAATTAATATTCAAATTCTGAATATTTTAACTGGGCAAACACAGTTTAAATTCTGCATCAGAATTAATGTTATTTCAATCATCTAAAAAGTTGTGCGTCAGAATTAATATTATTTCAATCATCTAAAATATTGTGGTGTTTGAACAGTTGCTAAGCGACCTCATAAGTTGTGGACCAGCTGTAAAAGCCAGCAACTTATGCCACATATATAACATTAATTTATTATTTTCATTTCTTCAAAGGTAAACCTGAGGTGCTTAATTCAGATCAATACTTGATGAAAAGTTTCCATTCATATCCATGGAGACATTAACTATTAGCAAAATGCATAGGCTTGTGTTTTTAAAAATATCATAACTTCTCACTATGGATTCTATCCCAGTCATGAGCCATGATTCCTTTTGAGTAAAATAAACATATTTGGTGTAATATGAAGCTAGATTAGTTTATTTTTTCTTAACTTATTTTTTTATATTTTACTTTATATATTTAGCAGTATTATTGATAGTGTATGTGGTTTATCTAAGATTTCTTGATTTTTTTTTTAAGCTGACAATGGAATTTTATTCAAGTATTTGGAGTTAAATAACAGCTTGATATGAAGTTCTCTATTATTTGATTTTCTTTTTACAGGATCTGGTGAAAAGCCATTTGATGTATGCAGTCAGAGAAGAAGTGGAAGTACTGAAGGAACAAATAAAAGAATTAGTTGAAAGAAACTCTTTACTTGAACGGGAAAATGCACTGTTAAAATCTCTTTCAAACAATGATCAGTTATCACAACTTTCAACCCAACAGGCCAATCCAAGTAGCACTTCTCAACAGCAAACAGTGATAGCACAGCCTCCACAGCCAACGCAACCTCCACAGCAGCCGAATGTCTCCTCAGCATAAAGCTTTCTTGCCTCATTAAGAACTGAAAGCAATCTGTCCTTGTGTGCCACTGGTCTTCTTTCCACTTTATATGAAAGCAGGTAGCCATGCTTCAGTTGTGTGTTTTGGCCTTTTCAGTATTAGACAATCATTCTGCAAGCGCTTTCCCTCACTGAGATGTCATACTACACAGTTGGTGTCCAATTATGCCATCAGTGCACAAGGGAAAATGTAGAAGGAGTTATAATGCAAAAATCTGCATTTGTTTGATGCACATGAGTGGAGGTCTTTAAGAGCTTTAGTAAGGCTCTTCAAGGTTTCCATTACTCATGGATTACTTTGAGCCTTGCATTTTCACACAGTAACAACTCATCTTTAGAGCCACTGTTCTTTCAATGACAAGTAACATTTGCCTACATTAGTTTCATTTATTTGTTTTATTTATTACAGGGCTGCTATTCATAATGTACATGAACAATGTCACAGAACTTTTAATTTTTTAAAAAATAAATGTAAGTATCAGTAAAACTTGATAGACAGGATTGAGTTTAATAGAAAAAAAAATGTTTAGGCAATAATTGAACAAAAGAATCCTGGCCTATTTCTAACACTAATGGCAATTTACCTTTTGGTATTTATTTTCAGTAGTTAAGATCCAGCTTGAATGTAAATTTTTGTATAGTGTAAGTATGAAGACCATAGTGCATCTGTACAGGTAGTCGCCAGTCATTGTGATATAATAATTGATGGGCTATTTTGATGAAGAAAACTTTGCTCATTTCTGTTTCTACTTTCTAATAGAGAAATTGCCATGATTCCTCTGCTTTTTGACATTTCGTATGATTTTGGGTGGGGGGTGGGGGGAATAAAAAGCTGTGAAATTGTTCAACCTACTTTGTAACCAAAGAAGCAAAGCTGTGTAATTGAGTTTTTATTTTATAATGCACATTCTTTATGTATTTTTATTTAGTGTTCTCATTCACATTTTTCTTTGCTGTCTAGCATGGATCTGCATGACCTATAATCTTTGAACCACTTTCGTACCTCATGTTTTATCCAGCACTCTTATTGTGATATGTAATAGTCTGTGAACAATGTCAAATTAAAAAAAAGAAAGAACAGCTAGTGTGGTGGAGCTGAGCTGGTGTGTTATGCACTAGTTTAAAAAATGAAGTGAGCCATCTTTTGTTCATTTAAAATGGTGTTTTGAATTTCGTATGCAGAAAACGTTTTGTTACATTGCAGATTTTAATGTATTTAATAAATGCAACATGCAGATTAAGTGCAGTGTATACTGAGTATTTAAATTAAAATGTACATTTCATAAATACAGTTTCAAGAGACCATTTGTGTATACTAACGTAGTATGTCAGAAGTTGATGTACAATATATTTTAACACTTTCTGAAATTAAACTGCAGTTTTGTTGAAAGGTCTGGCTGTAAATATATTCAGAAGATCCCTAGGTTAGTGTTTGGGGAAAATATTCAAGCTAATATTCATACGTGCTACTTCTCTGACACTGGTCATAATATAGGTATATTAGATTTTAAGGAATAGATGGCACACAAATTATTAAATTTTGAATAAACCACATTCTAATAGAAATCTGGAATAGACAGGATTTTAACATTTTTTATTTATTTTATTAAATTTCTACACCTCCCATCTCATTTAAGTGCCATATCATGAGATACTGCTTATTTCTCTGTAAGTGTATGAAACTTAAATAAGTGGGCCATTTTTATGATTACTACACAGAATGCAATCTGTTACTTAGTTGTATATTAGACTTGTGAAGCATCAACATTGCACAGGTTTATTTTTGGGTTCAGAGAAAAATAGGAAGACCTTGACTTACTACCATTCATTTAGCGATTGTTTGAAGTTACAACAGCACTGAAAAAAGTGACTCACAATTGGTCCTCATACACCATCTTAGCATCCCCATTGTCACATGATCAAAATTCAGGTGCTTGGCAAGCAGCATGCATTTGCTATGGTTACAGCATCCTAGGGTCACGTGATGCCATTTGCTATCTTCCTAGCCGGCTTCCAGTAAGCAAAGTAAATGGAGAAAGTTAAATTTACTTAACAACCATATGATTCACTTAACTGCAATGATTTGCTTAACAACCATATCAAAAAAGGCAAAATTCAGCATGATTCACTTAACAATTGCCTTGCTTAGCAAGAGAAATTCTGATCAATGACCCAATTGTGGTTGTAAATCTGTAGCAAGTTCTGGATTCTACTCTGCATATTTTTAGAAAGTTTGGGGGAATTATGTAATACTGCTTTCATCCACTCCAATTCTATACTGTACTATCCCTTCTTATCTTTGTCCATGATGTGAACACTCCAAAGAAAGCATTAAGCTGCACTCACTTTTTTTCTAAAAGGTTTCTACAGTACGGTAACAGTACTAGAAGTAGACATAAAAGTGTCCTTTGTGCAGCAGAAAGCTTCTGATTTTGTATCTAAACTTTTTACTGTATAAGCTAGGTGTAGCAGGGAGCTTAGTGACTCTAACACAAGAATTAGTGCCCCTTTTCAATGGGGTCTCAAATAGCTTTAAAATAGAGAGTTATAACAAAAACAATTAACAAACACAATTTTTTTTGGATCCAAATACATACTTTGATACAGATGATCTGAAAGATTAATATTCAACTGAATCCAGAACTTTTCCTTTAGGATTAATGGATAAACAATTAGAATAAAGCCATGGAAAATTATTTCAATATATGATCACATCAGTGAAATTACTGTATGCACAGAGATGGAAATATTCAATACTATCCACTGTGGAGAAATGGCTAGTGAAATTGACAGATTTTGCTGACATTAATAAATTAACTTCATTGATTAGAGAAATACATACATTTATTGCTCACTGGAAGATCTTGTGGATTTTTTTTTGCATAAAAATGGTTTTTGTGATTAGACAGGCTAGATTATAGAAGGAAGAATAATATGTAATTTTAGAATGAGAGGTTAAAATATATTTGTACTTATTAAACCTGTGAAGAATACTGTATCAAAGCCATTTCCTTACACTTTGTTCTTTCTTTTCTAGTTTTCCTTAATTTTTCCCTTTTCTCACAATTTCTGCTTTTTTTCATTTCTTTTTTCTTTCTTTCTGTTTGTGTTAGCTTATTTTGTCTTGCTTAAAAGTTTTAATAAAATTACATATGAGAAAACAAAAACAATCAATTAACTATTTACAAAATGGCTTGGGCATCATTAGTGCCCAAATGCACAGTGGAACACTTGGATCTGGAAACAAATCACTCACCAGTATATTGATAATATAAATGTAAGTAGCTAAATTTTTTGCTGCCTGAAATCAGCAGATGAAGTTTTGTGGTTTGGGACCAATTAAAACTTTGGTTATCTTCAAAGGCAGCCCAACATAGATCATGTTGTGATAATTCCACTGAGAGGTGACAAGGCATGAGTTAACTGTGGTCAGGACTATCCTCATGCAGATAGTCCTACAAATAGTCACCAGCTGTTGCCGGGCAAAGTTCCCCTTGGTCACATTTTCCACCTGCTTCTCCAATGGAAACCAAGAAATAAAACTCCAAATTATGGATCTGCATCTTTAGAGGAGTCCTATCCCAACAAGAGCTAAAACTAGACTCAGATTTGTCACTAGTAAATAATATCGCTGTCCTATAAGGATCCAGTCTGAGTTTGTTTTGATCATCCAATGGGTCAGATTTCCACAATATTCCCATCCAGCTCAGCCTGGGATGATACTGAATTATTTAGTAGCAGGATACTGTTATTGACTGCATTCTACAAATGATCTTTTCCAAAGGTTCGTGTAGGTGTTAAATAGCATGAAGAAGTTTGAGCCCTGCAGTTCCTATACTGGAGCAGCCATCAAATTAAATTAAATCAGCCATTCTTCATTTACTATCACCACTGTGGCTGAAATTGCCTGCTGAGGGGCAAAACTAGAATGATTCCTCCAATCCAAAATTCTTCAGAAGGGTATTATTATCAAAATCTACCCAGGAAAATCCTAATAGGACTCAGAAGTGTGTACATCTTCAACCAGTCCTCCATGAGAGAGATTAATAGTATTTCAACTTTACCTGAAATCCAGCTGTAAAAAGCAGAAAATGCATTTCCTTGAGGACTCTGTTACTGAGGTCCTACCACTTTTTCCAAGAATGGAAGGCTGGATGATAATCACTGCTACTTTCAAGATTAATTATCCTTCCTTTCAAAGAAGTGTATCCAAAATACAATCACAACCTTCATCCTCACAAATCATCGTGGGGACTTAGATCCACTATGGAGCTGAGAGAGATCTTGTCACAGGGCACCATACTTACTTTAGAGAAATTACAATTTTTGAATGTAATTTTGAATGTTACTTACACTACCTTAGTGAATGTTGTTTTCAAATTACTTTTATTTAAATTAATTTTCAATATGATTTTTCTATTACGTAGTTTGAGTTTGAAATGGTGCCATCTTTCACATAAAATGCAGAAGTCACTCCAAGTAATAGATTAAGATACTGGAAAAGAAATTATATTTTGGAGGTTTTTCTTCTATCTATCTATCTATCTATCTATCTATCTATCTATCTATCTATCTATCTATCTATCTATCCATCTATCCATCTATCCATCTATCCATCTATCATCTAATCTAATCGTATGCCACCAATTTCATCACTATGTTATCTGTATAGAAGACTGAGAAAGGAAATAATCATAACAGAAAAAC